GTTATATATGTACTAAAAGCCCCTCCTTCTAAGGAGAACTCTCAATATTGCGATGATACCACGGACCTCCTTGATACTCATCAAAATCTTATGAAGATAGTTACGCTATGGGAAAAATCCAGGCATATTTGTAAACATACTCTGGCGTTACGGAAATTTATAGTGAAGATATTTTATAAAACATACAATGACACAAGTGTAACACATGACATGACATAACTGGGGTCCTTTTATGTCCGGTTTTTACACCGATGCTATACATTAAACACAATACCACGAAACATATCAATAGAACCCACTCAAATTGTTCACATGACAAAAACCTTTCGACACAGTTGTTATGACAGACTTATTACATGTCGGTATGTGTAGGTTTTGCATTGTAATAGTACATGTAACCATACAGTTCATGATATTTCGATCAAGGAGTCCACTCACCTGTCTATTGTCCTAACGTCAACAGCTTGAACAGGGTAACCTCGATCAAGTTACAATGTCTGAATGTGTATGTGTGTGCTTTGGGTTTTCTGTTTATAAAATTAAATATAGGTTCGAGTTTTAAATCTATCTAAGTGGGGAGTTATCGATATCCTCTATCATGAACTTCGGATGCTCTCGGATCAGAATTACTTTGTTGGTATTTGTATTGATTATCGACATATGTTGAACGTACATATATTAATGTTAATACAATTGTTATTGACAATCATAGAAATATGTATAGGACGTTAGATTTACAGTAATAAGCTACGTACTTCATTGGCATACACCAGTCAGCCTGTAGCTTCTTCGATTTAAAGTTGATAACCATTTGTATCATACATGTTGTCAGTTTATTGAAATGCCTTTTTTTTGTAAAATAAACCAAACAAAAACCAGCAAGGCTCTAAATCGGTTAGATCTATTGAGGTAAATCTTCGTGATTTCGTGATCTTTCAAAACCCCGAATATTTGCCTTTATGCCTTAATACCATCTTAACTATACATGTCAAATGACGGGACGTAGCGAGTGTGGTGCAAAGTTTCATGTTATGGGTTTCATGTGCTTAACAAATACGCCCACACCAACATCCACACACAGCCCACACCAACATACACACACAGCCCACACCAACATCCACACACAGCCCACACCAACATCCGCACACAGCCCACACCAACATACACACACAGCCCACACCAACATCCACACACAGCCCACACCAACATACACCCCCAGCCCACACCAACATCCACACACAGCCCACACCAACATACACCCCCAGCCCACACCAACATCCACACACAGCCCACACCAACATACACACACAGCCCACACCAACATCCGCACACAGCGCACACCAACATCCGCACACAGCCCACACCAACATCCGCTTATAGCCCACACCAACATCCGCACAAAGCCCACACCAACATCCGCACAAAGCCCACACCAACACCCGCACACAGCCCACACCAACATCCGCACAAAGCGCACACCAACATCCGCACACAGCCCACACCAACATCCGCACAAAGCGCACACCAACATCCGCACACAGCCCACACCAACATCCACACACAGTCCACACCAACATCCGCACACAGCCCACACCAACATCCGCACACAGTGCACACCAACATCCGCACACAGCCCACACCAACATACACACACAGCCCACACCAACATCCACACACAGCCCACACCAACATCCGCACACAGTCCACACCAACATCCGCACACAGCCCACACCAACACCCCCACACAGCCCACACCAACATCCGCACACAGCCCACACCAACATCCGCACATAGCCCACACCAACATCCGCACATAGCCCGCACCAACACCCGCACACAGCCCACACCAACATCCGCACACAGCGCACACCAACATCCGCACACAGCCCACACCAACATCCACACACAGTCCACACCAACATCCGCACACAGCCCACACCAACATCCACACACAGTCCACACCAACATCCGCACACAGCCCACACCAACATCCGCACACAGCCCACAATGTGTATCAAGGCAGAAGAGGGCTTAATATCTGTATGAAATTTTTACCCAAATCACATTATATATATTTCTAAGTCCCCTAAACAATCACAGCATTTATTGATATATTTGATATATTGATATATGTTTGAATAACACTATGGCAAACATTGTTTGAACGCTGACGATCATTATTATTCAACTTCTTTTTATCACACATGTTGTTATTTGTGCAATGATTTTATCATGGAAGTAGTCTTACAATTATGTACAATAATGTGAAAAAAATATTGTATAAAAAGTGACAATGACATTTTTAATAAAACAAAAATAAGGTAAATGGTACAATTGAGTGACTTGAGACAAAAAATAATAATAATCCGTTTCAATAGTATCAACTGAATTCAGATTTGTCAATCAGATATTATTTTAACAGTTATTTCATAAAATAATTAAAACATAGCTTTGGATAGCAATGTATCTGGTTCCGATTTATAAGTGAATCTTGACAAGCTTCGCGCGAGTTACCTCTCTTCGGACATTAGCAGATTTTACACGATTGGTTTTACTGTTACACCGAGTTACCTCCCTTTGGACATAAGCAGATTTTACACGATTGGTTTTACTGTTGCCACGAGTTATCTCTCGTCTGCTGCAAACAAATTTCAGTTGAGATTGCATTTTTTTTAACAAGATTCAAATGCGATTACAACTGCAGTATTGTAAGGCTACAGATTGACATAATTAATCTATCTTTTTATTACATATACAGCACACCAAGGATTATCCATACTGTATGTGAGAAGCCAGTTAAAGATGTAAAACCTGTTTAGCTAAACAACATATTAAAGTCAAGGTTTTCCTACTGAGGTAATCGATCATGCTATTGGAATGGGACCCACATGTCAATATGTACCAAGCTATTGAGAACAAAAGAGAAGAGTTGAGTTTAAGAAGAGTAACCGTCGTATAGGAAGATGTATAATTCACGTATTGTAATGTTGAGTTTAAAAGAAGACTTTGGAACTGTGAACATGCATGGGTTCTGTATTGGTATACTGGTCGTGAGAAATAAAGTGGTAATTTTCCGGACCAGATTGTTAAGATTATTTTGTACCTGATTCCGTATTTTAGTCGTGCCGGATTCGGTTTTCGTTTTTATTGTATTGGATGCAATAAATGAAAGATGGCCACGGCTTGAGCTTTTCTGTCCACCTACTCATAATAGACACAACCAGCCCAGACAACAACACATGTTCTATTTTAGATAATTATTGTGCAATACCAAGGCACCCAAGTGTTAGTCACCCAGTTGCAATATACATCCCATGGTTATTGAATGTAGTAGTTTTGTTTTTAAGAATAATCAAAATTTTATTTGAATTTAAAAAGATAAAGTTTGCCAAAGTTTGTTTTCAATATGCAGAATTGGTCAATATAGGTCAAAGTAGCTATGAGTTCAGAACATCACAAGAAAAGAAGAAGAATTTCAGTGTCTACCAAGAGATACTGTAAGTTAACCCACTTTCTCGAAAACCTGTTCTTGATTGATTTTATACTGATTGAGAAATTATAAACAAAACAAAAAACGAAAAAAAAGGGGAAATGACCATTATGTAGAAATCTTCACGTTTTTATTTTTCTTCGCATGGTGGTATCACTGTGCTAGTTTAGATCACCTGCCTGAAGGCCGAAAACGGGGATATAGGAAAATCTTTAAAATCTTTCTTTTTGTAGTAGGGAAATTTATCATTATTTGGTATGGAGCATCCTTTGGGAAATTCAGTTAACTTTGTTTTAATGCACAGAATGGGTAGGGAGTTGAGGCCCATTATGGTAAATATTGGCATATAACTTGTGTCCATTGAGTACAGGTCAAATTATTTGACCATCAATTTGTCTTGAGCATCTTTGAGCCAAAAATGCACATCATCATGTACACTGGGAGCGTTCGGCCCAACGTTGGAAATGTAGATAAATGCTAGTAGAATGGACATAATTTGACCTGGTGGATCCTCAGGTCCGTAAAATATTTAGAGTTTGGTGAAGAGAAAACGTAATTATGAACCGCAATTATGTTAAAAATCCTGATTTAAAAAAAAAGTATTTTCTTTGTCAAATGGATAACACTTAAGAGCTTGATTTTAAGAACAATTGAGCATATACTCATTTACAAGTGGAATCAGGATACAAATTATATCATAAATGAATTGTCTGTTCTTGTGACACCCCACTTTACAGGTCATGCAGTACAAGGTGTTCCTAATGACACAAAATGTCTTCAGCATTTTAACTTTCAGTTTTCTTCGAAAAGTCATCAGAATTTCTTCGTATTTCAGGATAATTTTACTGTTGTTATGGTTTATATTTACGAGGTGTACTTATAGTGGACATTGCTTTTAAATATTCGCATAAAGATCGGAAGATTAACCAATCAAAATAAATTATGTAATTTCTGATACAGTCTTTGTCAACATTACAAAAATATTGATTGAAAAACAAAATACAAATTACATAAAAACAACAACATGATAACAATACAATATAGATACATATGGAACAAAATTGATAGGATTTATTTTATTGTAGTACATGTATCAGTGGCATAAAACACGCTATAAAGTATGATATGATAAGTAAATATATACAAAGTATTTCCCGTTTTAAAATACATACATATATATATAAATACAAAGTGGAGGTGTTTTATTGATTTTGAAGAATGGTTTCAGTCTATTCTCTCAGCTATACTCTCACATACGCCTAAAGGGCTACACACGGAGCGAGTAATGCTTAGTATTATATAACGTATGCTATTGCTTACAATGATTGATATAAACCGCAAGACATTTTGTAAAAAAAATATGTTTTTTAAAAAATAAATATATTTTAATGCCCTGTTTCGAACAATACCGCTATTAATATAAACCGCACTCAACAACATCCTGACGTCATGCATAATAATTGTCCCTCTAAATTTGCATGTATGACGGGATGTGCCCACGGCGATTAGTATGCCGACGTCAGATATAAAGAATGGAATAGATCAAGGTGTCCTGAAGTATATTTCCTCGTTAGGCCGGTGTGTATATAAACCCTGTGATCAAACAGCCCTACCAGTGTGGCCTTTTCACAAGACACGTTACAACTTACTGACAGCGACTATGGTAGGTACTCCTTGCTAATTTGTTCAAACCAGAACTAAACTAAAGGAGATATATAATACAAAATTATAAGTGCAGATAAAACAAATTTATAGATTAATTTTAAAGTATTTTATAGTTTTCCTTTTCCTTTGGGTGTTCCTCAGATCTTGTTAGACTTACAGCTTCAGCATGCCATCGACATGGTGCTTAAGGATGCTTTTATACATGTCGTGTGTCTCAAGCGTACTTATACATTTAATTGAATATTCAAATGGTATAAAACTTGCTTTTATAATTTTGAGTAAAAATGAATAAATATATTGTACAACATCATTCAACAGTAAAAATGGTTGCATCTTAAATGTTATTTTAATGATGTCTTTATGTATTTTGCAAGTTTTGTGTAACAAGCAAATAATATTAAGAATGCATTTCTGTATAATTTTTGATTGTATTGTAGATTTTAACTGATGAATGTTATATAAGAGTTAAGTGATGTTTCAGTGTTTAATTTTCTTTTTGATTCCATAGCACACCTCCCTCGCACTCCTTGTCCTAGCGGTCTGCCTGTCCTCTGCAGTAGGCGTTTTAAACCAATGTGATAATTACAAGCCTTTTGTCAAAAACTGGATATGTCCAAGCAAAAGCATCAAATACAACCCGTAAGTGTTCATTAATGGAATTAAAAACGTACACTGGTTTATCTGTAAAAAGCTTAAAATTGTAATTGTCGATTATATGTATTTGTTGATGTTGTATATTTGCATAAAAGATTTGTTTAAAAGATAGAGAATGAAGAGCGCCAATATATATATATAGGATCTTAAATGAGTTTTCATTTCACATGAGCTTTTATGAAATGAGCCTTAGGAGTTTTTATTTTTGCGAGCCATGGTGGCGAGCAAAAATTAAAACTTCGGGACGAGTTTCTTAAAAGCTCATATGAAATGAAAACAAAATTTAGATACTTTTTATCATATAACTCAGAAAACTTACCATTTGACAGGTTTTAAAGTCAAAATGTATTCCGTCTTTGCGTATTGCAGAGTTATCTTCTCTTGAGAGCAGGTATTGATTGTTACGTCACTTGTTTGTGAGAGTANATGACTCAGGCATGGCCTGGAGAGAGCGAAGCTCGTACATTTGTTTCGATAGTATAGTATAATTTTTGAATCATAACATTACCCATTTTAATACATACAAAATGTACCTGTATTTTTTTTTTATATAATATACTTGAATCTGTTGCTGGGCAAAATCATTCATTTTGAAAACAGGCATTGCCTGAAACGAGCGAAGAGTCTAAATTTTCTAAATAACATTTTTTAAAATAATATCTATTTATTCGTTTTATAGCGATACAGTATTAATGTAAAACTAATAATAAGTAAAGAAAAACATTTGAATGAATTATGTAGTTCAAGAAAAAACACAAATGCATTTGGTACTGTTGCATCTAATTGCCCCGTCTATGGCCTCAGCGTAATGTTGCGGAAAGAGTGAGGCCCAGTAGAGGGACTTCATATTTGAAGATGTATTTTTTATCAAATATAACTGTTATTATCTGTTATTATAAAAGTTAAGTATATTGGTGATTAAATTCCAATTTTATTTTCCGACATGATATACTTTGCCTGATCCCTCTAAATCGTGTAAAAAGAGAATCACAATAGCCCAAACATATCCGGATTTCCGTCTGGGTTGGTAGTTTCTATATACTTTCGGTTTGGATGGAGAGAAGAAAAGACTGAAAATTTGAAAGAAGCTTCAGTTTCTATAATTTTTATTGTCATGAATTTACATAACCACAGAAAAAAATTATCAAATAAAAAAAAAAAAAATTGAGAATGTGTAGCAAAGCTAAACAGCATTGTAAAAATAGGACCGCGGTAACTCTATACTAGCTACTTCCGTGACGAAGGATTTTGGAAGCATAGTATTTCGACGTTACCATGACTTCAATTGTTCGTACATGTTACCGGAAAAGAGCTTCGCTTCTTGGGCCTTCGGCGCAAGAAGAGCTGCGCTCTTAGTATACCGGCGAATTCACTGGATAACAGGCCGATTATGTGATAAATAAGTATATCAAGTATGTTGTCACGATCATGCATTTATTTGTTTACGTTTTAATGTCCCAGCACAATGATTACTGATGCACCACTTCGTAGAGCAAATAGTGATATCAATTGAGTAAAACACTTTCATCTTTAAAATTAAATAATTAGATAATATTCAGAACTTCGAGGTTTTATGTTGTAATGAATACTGCTGAACAAAATGAAGAAAAAAACAACAACAGGTAAATAGATTTAAGATTTAAACAATCGATTTCTACAAATTCATGTTAAAGAAACAAAATCTTTTTTCTCTCTAACATATGATGAATAACTATCATTATTTTTAACTATCATTTTGCATTTGTCATCGAAAGTATTCTACTCATATGTATTTCAATTTTTCGATTGAAAATAGTATAAACCCTTCAATAGATGTAAATTTTAACTTTATTTCTTCCACAGTTTTACCGTAAACGGTGAACTAATCAACGGTCTCCCCAACGGGGCACAGTATGATGGGTCGAAGAACGTCGAAGGCACCGCTGAGTGCGTGAAAGATATACCAAAACCTGAGCCATTTATAGCCAGAGTTCCCAGCAGGTGGGTTAATTGTACGATTTAGAAAAAGAAAAAAAACTTGTCAATCACATGTACATGTGATTGACAAGTGATTGACATCTAACACAAACAGTTACCAGAAATCATTAGAGGTCCAGGCTTTGAACCCCGGTCTGGCCGAATTGTTATTTTTAATCGAAGGACACCACCATTTTAATCTTTATTATTTGCTCATACTAAGGCGCAAGGTATGTGTTTTTTGACAGAAATTAGTTACTAAGGCTGTTGTCAAGCCGGTAGGAAAGTATATAATTCAAAGTTACAGCTTTTGGCGGGAATGTAAATAGAGGCCAGAAGGGATTCGAGCCCTAAACTTTATGTCATAATACCATTGGTCTAACCGATTGAGATAACATGTATCGTTTAACGGAACTATCCAAGCCCATGCAATTTTGCTGCATTTTTATCTAAACGAGAGTTAGGAGGGGATTACTGCTAATTGGGAAAAAAAACACACACACACAGTGCAGTAGGGCAGGGATCCTTTTATTGAATTTTTAAGTGTCTCCATGTAAATATTTCCATTCATCTTTTCAATGCGATGGTTTCGTCGAATTTGAGATTAAAGTACGGAATTGTTTACACTTCAGTATCTTTTCTTCCTATTTATTCAGAGCAACTTCACAGTTATCAAAACTGAAAACATGATTTGTTTGTGATTCGGATAATGTGCTTCATAAAAGCTCTCATTCTATACAGATAGCTCTCATTCTCTACAGGTAGCTCTCATTCTATACAGGTGGCTCTCATTCTATACAGGTAGCTCTCATTCTATACAGGTTACTCTCATTCTAAACAAGTAGCTCTCATTCTATACAGGTAGCTCTCATTCTATACAGGTATCTCTCAATTTAAACAAGTAGCTCTCATTCTATACAGGTAACTCTAATTATATACAAGTAGCTCTCATTCTATACAGGTAGCTATCCTTCTATACAGGTAGCTCTCATTCTATACAGGTACCTCTCATTTCACACAGGTAGCTCTCATTCTATAACTACTTTGGTAATTTGAGGCTACAGAGGAATTACAAATTAAAAAAAACTAATTAGCAAATCTATGTGTAACGAGAATGATATAACAGGTCATCCACTGATTTGTTATCTGTATAATGGTCCTAAACTTGAATCAATGAAAGACATCAATCGCGACTCTGTACTTACTGATATACAGAATCAAATAGAAATGGGGTTTTAAGCCAATGCCCTGAGTTACAAAAGTTTTTTCCCGAATTCTAAGAATCAGTGTGCACATCTATAATCATGCATACATACTATTATTATTTCTTTTAGAACCCGAATCATTAAACTTGAGGAACTCTGCGCAATGAAAAAAGTTTATGTACATAATGTGTATAAGGACTTAACCATCGGTGGTGTCAGAAAACAGTATGAATGCGTGGTCGTCAATACCGGCTGGATGAGACAGGACTTGTACTACGCCGAATGTGTCAATCCGTAAGTTTTACATGTAGTATTGTAACAATACCGTAAACTTCTTATTAACGCATTGCTGCTGTTGTTAGGAGGTATTTGCGATCGTCACTCCTCGCAAATATATGCACAAAAAACATCGTACTAAATGTCATACGTTAACATTTAAAAATAATGCAAAGTGTACCATTGTGATATTTGATAGCATTGGTTTAACAGTAAGGAAATTTTTTAACCTATCTTTCAATAGAAGTCCTATTATGGAAAGGTACTATTTAGTAATGACAATAGAAAATGTATCACAGGCCTTGACCCTGCCTTGACCCGACCTTGACCCGAAAAACAAGTCTTTTAGAGGTATTCGCATTCTTAAATTTGTAGAAAATCAGTTCAAAATCTGTTCCGGAAAATATAAGTTACCGGAGTGATTTTACTTCATTGGTAGACAAATTTCATATAAAGCAACAGTTACTCTGCCTTCACATTGAACACCTGTACTACGTACTCGTTTAAAGTATTATCTTGCTTGAGATTTATGTGGGAAGAGATAGGACAGAGGAGGACACAAAATCCCAGCTCTCCCTAGAAATGACACAAATAGTTGAAAATTCAATAGCGAAATGGCAGTTTCATTGGACATAATTCATATCTGTAACTATTTTTTTTTTTTTTTATAATTTCATGATAAATACTTATATCTCAATCATTCGTCTTTAAATTTACGAAAAGGCGAAAGCTCATGAAAATTTTTGCGTTTGAATACAAGATGATATATATTTTTCTAATTTCAGGCAAATGCCAGATAACGACATGTGCCAATTGGATTATGGCACCCGCAAGTCATTTAGATGTGTTCAGTCCGGGTTTGTCAAGAAGCGCGTTCTTCTTTTATGTCCAGATCATACGAATTGGATTTTCACAACACATACGGTGCCGACCACTTGTAGCTGCCGCAGGTGTCCCCATTGCGAAAACGTAAAAGATGACATGTTTTCGAATCTTTTAGAAGGTCTTATGAATCCAACAATCGAATGGCGTGGGTAAACAAGCATATGCCATGCTTTTGATTCAGTTTCAAATATATAAAAGCTTTGTTATAGATATAAAATCCAAATATCCACTGGGAGGGTTCTTATAACAGTCAGAAACTGAATGACATCAAATCATGCAGGAGTACGTTTTGTAATAACACTCAGAAACTGAATTACATCAAATCCTTCACAATGTGTCCTTTACTCACTGTCGATGGGCTGGTGCAATATACAAAAGTTGTTTTGTGTATCATGTGAATTGTTCTGTTTAGTCGTTTACTATGCAAATGTTGACGGCACCAGGTTGTCTATAAAACATGTAGTTTGTAAACATTATTTTGTTTTAACCCCATTTTGAAACAAAACATTGTCGTTGGTATGAAATGCAATGCTATATGTATTTTTCATCGTCAATAAACATATTTAACTTGCATTTTTGTTTTGATATTGATGATTAAAGAGAGATGGAATGGTTTGATGACAGTATGCAATTGTCTACTGTGAAATTAAGTAGTTTTCGTTGATTCCGTAGGTACACTTCGATCACGAATTCATATATCAAGAAAGTAACTTTTGCATAGAGGTATTTTCCGTTTGAGTGGTATACTGCCAGCTAAGATCATAAATAATGTTTTATTAATATCAACTTACATTTTTATGCAAACACAGTGCAGCAATACTTGAACAATGTGTGTCATTGTAAGTAAACAAAAAACTACTGCTAACAGTACCTCAGGATCGTACATGTAGGTACTCAAGTTGTTGCGCGTTTAAAAATTCACCATAAATACGGTATGCCAAAAATGAATTGCACAGCTCTATACAGCCATTTTCTTCTACTAAGTCTCGTCTGTAATGTTACGGGCCCGAAAGATTGACATCCAAATTGGTGTAAACATTTGTTGACAGAGAAGGAGAGATGCGCCGCTCACTCCCAGAATTATCCGAATTTTAAAAGTAGATAGGATTGTTTTTCAGTAAACTTCAAAATGAAATTCAGAAAAAAGATTTCAATTACGTCACGTCCCAAGTGAAACAAAATGATGTTGGAGTTAACTTTTTTTTTCTTTCTCAAACTAGGTCGATGTCCTAACAGCAAATCTAAAAACAAATCTTGGAAGTATAACAATTTGAAAAAAGAAATTAATCAACAAAAGATCACACATACACACACGCACGTTCTATTTTAACCAACGTTTATTCTGGACTTCTCGAAATATTTTCGTGGGTAAATAGAGTTTAAATGGTAAAGCGGTTACTCCTCTCGCCAATTCTAAGAGATCGCCTTTTTACTTCAAGTTAATACAAACATTCGTGTACCGTGATATCGATAAAATCCCAGAGAGCGAAATGACGTCAGAGAAAGAATGGATAAATATAGGCAGCCAATGGGTGGTGTTGTATAGGACGGTAGTCCGTAGAAATCATATAATTCTTCAACTATTTACATCAAGATGATGAATTGAAATTGGTATTTTGTCTATATCGATTCGGTTTGCCATGTTACACTGATGGTACCCACTGCAGTAGAAAAGTAAATTATCCATAATTTTAAAAGGGCTGGTCGGGGAAAAAAATGTCATATTTGCTAAAATGGCATACACATGTTTAAAATATCTTCTTATGAAATATACCGATTCAAATTTTGCAGAAATTCACTCCTCAAGAGTAAAAATTATAATTATAATCACCTGACAGTCTAAAGCTCTTAATTGACCCAGATCAGTGATGTAATTTTACCGCATGTGCGTCATCAACAAGGCCAAATGTAAACATCCACTACACATCCCTGATCGCGGCGAAAGAAAAAGATGCATGCAAAAGTCATGACAGGCACGAGGTACCAACAGGTAAGACTTGCTCAAGTAAGGAATGTTTCTCGGTAATATCTAAAGATTTATGGAAATATTCAAAACAGCGGAGGACGTTAACGTTACACGTTATAAAAAAAACTTAAGACAGCTGATGCGTTTGGATAGCATTTTACATCGACTGCAAAACGTGTTTTTTTTTTAAAGCTTAAAAATGAAAAAGGTAAAAAACCTAAGACCCGACAGAAAGGATTTTAATTTGATATTTTTTCTTATAACATGTAATGAGGAAAAGTTAGCCTCAATCAATATCTGCATATGGTATATTGCGTGAATGCTGTATAATTAACGGTTTTTCAGTGATGGCAATTTTAAGATTTTAATACATGACGTTATGGCAGCCATATTGAAGTTATGTCGTACTTAAAAATGTTGCAATCACACCTTTCAGTTATACCCTACAACATACTTGAAAGACTTTGAACATGTCTGCTACCAATCAAAAGATTAGGACGCCAAAATCGAAAAAATGAGAAAACGCCACAATCGCACAAAAATGAAAACGGTTTTTGACTTTCACTTTTGAAATTACGTTTAGAGTAGGTCAAGGTCATATAAGATAAACTTTAAAGCCCCTCATCCAAATGTACTTATTGCCAAACATCGTTTCCCTAGGATCATTGATTATTCCGAAAAAGTTATTTGAATGCATATATGTCCACTGTTACCTTGAAATCGATCAAGGTCAATACCTTTTACAACTTGATCAAAACTGTTTTTTGAAATGAGTTATCAAGTATAGTGCATTTGAACTTTGACCCCTACGGAACACTGAAAGTAGATCTCTGACACAAACATGTTTTCGTAGAAAAACAAATTGCTTTGTTGATCTATAAAATGTATCCGCAGATAAAACCATTAATGAGTTAGTACAATTAAGGTAAAAATAGATTGGACGTCATGGCGGCCATCTTATTTTTTTAATGAAGTCAAAATCGTTATCATATAAGGAAAGATTTCTGTAGAAACCTTTGTACTATGTCCAAATGAAATTACCGTAGTAACCATTGGAGAAAAATATATTTAAACATATTTCCGGCATTTTAAAAGATCAAAGAAAATCTTCAATAAGATGTTAACGATAAACGTTAGTGAAGCAATGAAGACAGCAGATTGATCAAGATGAAATTCCCCATCGACTACAGAAAGAATTTTGCAAAAATCTAAAAAAACAAAAAAGTTGGAAAATTGGTGACCTTTGACCCAACAGCGATTTTTTTTTATTTGACTTTTTTGTATTAACATGTCATAAAAAGTAAGCCTCGATGGATATCTACAATTAATAGATTGCATGAATGCTGTATAATCAACTGTTTTTGAGTTATGGTCTTTTTTATTTTGATTTATGACGTCATGGCGGCCATATTGGATTTTGACCTACTTAAAATGTTGCAATGATGCCTGAAAGTCTGTTGACACATCTGCTACCAAAATAATGACAGTAGAAAAAGAATAATAAGAAAAATACCAAAAAACAATTGGTCTTTCCATTATTAGTGAAAAGCCCTAATTAAGGAGATATGAAAACAAAAGGTGAGACAATACTCACGAATCTCACCAAAAGTTCTCTATAGTCACTGTCATTATGTCGTTGTTTCTGTTTATTTCATCGGTATTACTTTTACGTAAGGTTCCAAAAAAATATATTAATTAAAACTATTGTCGTGCCGGTCAAGGTTACCCCAATCCTTAGTTGCACTTTTTTGCAGTTGCACAGGGATCTTGAATGATGCTTAAACTGGGATGGTGTTCTGATTGTGACCGTTATTTTAAGGATGTACTCTTCTGAGGTTTCAATCACGTTCAAGTCTCGTTTTGATCTGGTGTAACGGGTTTTTGTAATATTTAACAAATTATGATCAAGTTTATGAGCAAACACGCATCTGAAAAATATGTCAAAAATTAGATGCCTGTTGTTTGTAGATTTGTTTTTACAAGAATTTAAAAAATTTACCAATTCGGCGGCCATTTTGAAAATGTGTATTAATGTGTATTTCTTGCGCTCCAAAAAAGGCCAAAATTTCTATTTTGACACTAGATTGGTCACTTAAATTGTCATTGTGTTGCTATTTTTAATTTTAGCAGGTTCAATTTTGCTGTACAATTTTATAATGTTTATTATGATAAAAATAATATGCAACAAACTGGTAAAGTGTACAATATTGATTTTTTTTTTACATATCTAGTTTAAATAAAGCACTTTTGATTTTTGACCCCGAAAAAGGTAAAAGAAAATAACACAAATGATAAAATGATAATGGGACAAAAAAAGAAGCACACGGAGTCCCCATTTTTGTGGATATTTTAGAAAGAGAAACACATTTTATTTTAATTCATTAAATATTTAAAAAAATTTAATAGCAGAACTTTTTATATCAAGCATTTAATCTGCAAAAATTGGTAAAAAAATTGAGTATTTTTTCATTAAAAAATAGGGGGTAGGGGTAACTAGAATCGGCTTTCTGAGTTAAAAGAATAAGTTTAAGAAATTTTACTTCCATAATATAAAATAAAATAAAATGTTCATCAATTCTACAAGCATTCATACATATCTGATAACACACTTGGAAGAAATTGTATGAATTTCTTCTGCAAATGGTCAAAACCCCAAAAACCACCTAAAATCACATGCTGTGTTAAATTGGTAACTTTGACCGATCATAGCACAAAAACGATCACACGGACATATTTTTTTTTTAAATTTTTTACTATGCGATTAACTCCTTTTTCCAAAAATCCATATAAGAAAAAAAGTTTAATACAGGATTTGTTATGACTTCTCAGAGGTGTACATCCTTAACAAACAAAACACACACAAGCTTCGTTTTAATTCGTGTCTGTTACTCAGTGTACTTTCCACATACTGACCACATGGACTTTGATTCACCGGCCTTGTCAGCGTGTAGGGGACAAAATTTCAGACACGCTACGTTACTTATATTTATCTCCTTGACAGGTACACGTGGAAAAGGAGCAAAGAAAAAAACGTGTTAGAGAACTCCTTGTTCGCGTTTACTAGATGATTTAGGGAATATTTTCCTTTGTTGTTGTTGTTGTTGTTGTTGTTGTTGTTGTTGTTGTTCAGGTTAAGTTATGTGATGACAACTGGAGTGTTGTAATTTCAATACTGAGGAACTTGTAGTAGCTCTATTCAAAGGAACCGTAGACAATCATGATTTTGATAACAAAACTCTGTGCTGTGAATTTGCGCAAGACAGTGCCTATTTCCTTTGGAAAGCAGCACAGATATATTTCAACGCTGCAGACCTAGTATAATGTAAACTTTACCAGATTGAATGTAAGGGTAAATACACCCTCCCGCAAAGAACAATGATACAGTGAACGATAACGAAATACAAATTAGCCACAATTTGTACATTGCATAATTATCTTATTCTTAATTTTGTATTATACACTCTTATTTTTGAGGAATAAAGAATGATAATAATGATGATGTTGATGATGATGATGATAATGATGATAATGATGATGATGAATTCGACCTCATTACGGACGGAGAAAAGGCTGAAGTTAGGCTGCGGCGATAGTTTCCCGGTAAATA